CATTTACCTCTTTCGGGTCTGCTAACATAGTAACAATTGCAGTATCAATGGCATCCTGGTTTTCCACTCTTGAAGCCCTTGCAGCCATGAGAACAACTGTGTCCTTGTCAATGCCTTTGGCAAAAACCTGAATCATGACTGGTCTTTGTCAATATCTGTTCAATAAATCGAGTTTAAAGATAAAAAGTTTAGTAACTCAATGGTCACTCATAATTTGAACTAGAGCATGAATGTGCATTACAACCATAGAACCAAATAGTTGCATCCATTGACAAAAGAAATCAAATAGTTGTCTTCACCTAAATTAGCTGATATTTGACTATATGTGTATTATCATGGAGAGCTAATGGTATATGATGGTTATATTTCACATGTTTGCTTAAATTATAACAAGACATGTAATTTTATTTCATATATAAAAACATAATGCAACCTCAATCAAATTCTTATCCACCGAGAGTTTGTTGAGGGTTAAAGTTCCTGTTTTATCACTGCATAAAACATCCATCCCAGCCATTTCTTCAATGGCTGTCATTCTTTTCGTTATGGCACCCTGCATCAGTTAGAGAATCACATTTAGTAACATATATTATTGCAGCAATTGGTTCTGAAAATAAGAGAGAATCGGTTTCTTAAACCTGCTGGGACAAGCGATGTGATCCAATAGCCATTGTGACAGAAAGAACAGTGGGCATAGCAATTGGGATCCCCCCAATGAGAAGCACAAGAAGATTATCAACTACCGTACGGTATTTGCTATCATGAACACCACACATAGCAATAATATCAATAACCATTCCAATAGCAATCGAGCAGATGCAGAAATTCCCTATTGCAGTCAAAACCTGAAATACGTCAATTAAAGCGATGTGTCAGGCAGCAATACTCAAAATATTATGCTTAAGAGCAGACCTCCAACTGCATCTTTTCAGTTTTACATGTTCCAAACAACAAATTAACTCAGAACCTCCCAAAGACATTATTACTTGAAAAATGAAGCTAACCTTCTGAAAATGGCCAACATGAACCGTTGATTCTACAAGATGGGCTGCCTTTCCAAAGAAAGTGTGAACTCCAGTGGCGATAACAACTGCCTCTATTTCACCTTGTTTGCAGGTTGAACCAGAGTATACCCCGTCACCAGGATTCTTTGTCACTGGTAGTGATTCTCCCGTAAGTGCAGACTAAGAAGTTAAATTAACATACGTTAAATATCAAGATTACCATCTCATTCAAATTACCAGTGTCATGACATTTGAAATCAAAAAATCACTATAAGAATTTAAATTACAAGGATTTAAAAAAAGTTTAGTCAAAAGATTAGTCTTGAAAATTGGGAAATATGATAAGTACGTAAACTGAATATACGAGTAGCTTGTACATGCCTATGTTAAAAACGAATTAGCAGCTATTATCACCTATGACATAGAAACTCTGAAGAATAAGAAGGATATTAACATGTAGACAGGTCATAGTTGAACTTTAAAACTCTTTTGCTGAATATGTACTAGACCTTCCAACTACTTTACGAAAATCATTCATTTAAGTGGCTCTTAGAAACTAAGTTATTATACATATATGATTGTTACGTCAACCGAAATTAGCTAAGTTAGAGCTGCAGATATTCAAATTTTGTATGTTATGCGTGAAGCGAGAATTCAGAGTCTGGCTCTGATATAGTACTCATCAAGAGAAGATAGAAAGAAGTATGAAGAACAGGCTCCAAGTCATTTTAACTGTTGACAATGTAAAAATCGTGTCCAGAAAAGTCAACAAACACGTATTATTATATTAGAGTTTCCTTCAAAACTTTTGTGAAGGATCCTCCTGACAGTACTTCTCTCATGCTGCACACATGCATATGGCATGCGCATACCTACAGGTGTACAGACCCCATCCCCCTCCCTGCATCAGTTGTACATGATTTTGTCCATAACTTGTTTTATGGATAACTTAACTGAAACTAGGTCGTTTTATATGAATACAAACCAATACATATTTTTGTGTGAGTGAATGTACCATAGCAAAAATAGTATACATATGTTGATGTGTCCTGTCTATGCTTTGAAAAATTGATATCCCATGTTCGTATTGGAATACGACACTCATGTAAGTCTATGAAACATGGCTTCTATCAAGAATCATCAGTTTGCATGTGAATTTCACTTCTTTCAAAAACTATAACCAGGTTTCTTCTTCGCCTCTCCAAAGACCCTCAACAGTCTCCCAATGTAATGTAACATACTGATATCTTCATGATTACAGGGTTTTATTTTCTTTCTTTTTGTTCCACATAGGAATCAATTTCTAACCTGAAGAAAAAATAGTTAGTGATCAAACATTGATAAGGAAAAAAACATAAGTGGAAACTAGTAATGAACTATTGGCAAAGAACTAAAGAGACAGATACCTGATCAATCTTTAAAGGG